CATGTGGGTCTACAGCCCATCTGCTGCCCCGGACGCCAAGAAGCCCGCGGTCGCCAAGCAACACATTTGCCTCCAGCATCCTGTGCTCGTCCACTGTGAAAATACTGGCCCCAGACTTCGGACCAATAGGGTTCTAGAGGATTAGAGAGGCGGTCGTGCCTGAGCCAACTCTAGCCAATGAGATTGTTGATTGCATCCGGGAGCCACTCTTAAAGGGACAATCAGGACAGTGTAGACTGAGGTCCCAGGCAGGGTGTAAGCTGGGGATTGGGGGTCAGCAGGCAGGCTAAAGCCCACATTGTCCTCCACCTGACTGAGTGCCTCATGGCCTAAGCCTCAGTTTTTCTTTTTTTTTTTTTTTTGGTTTTTCGAGACAGAGTTTCTCTGTGTAGCTTTGGAGCCTATCCTGGCACTTGCTCTGGAGACCAGGCTGGCCTCGAACTCAGAGATCCGCCTGCCTCTGCTTTCCGGGTGCTAGGACTGAAGGGGTATATCACCACACCCAGCTATTAGTTAATTTTAATTTTTTTATTTATGAGCTTGTGTGTGTGTGAGTGTATCCTACATGTGTGTAGACAATAGAAGAGGGTATCTTCTAATTGGAGCAGTAGTCTCAGGTGATTGTGAACTGGCATATACGGGTGTTGGAAACCAAATTCAGGTCTTCTGCAAGAGCAGAAAGTGCTCTTAACCACTGAGCATTTAAATTTTTAAAATTGTTTTAGATTTTTCTTATTTTATTTATTTATTTATTTATTTATTTATTTATCTGTTTTTGGTTTTTCGAGACAGGGTTTCTCTGTGGCTTTGGAGTCTGTCCTGGAACTAGCTCTTGTAGACCAGGCTGGTCTCGAACTCACAAAGATCCACCTGCCTCTGCCTCCCGAGTGCTGGGATTAAAGGCGTGTGCCACCAACGCCCGGCTTCAGGGTGAGTTTTTAAGCACAGAACCACATCCTGGGTTGATGTACTTCAGTTAGCAAGAACAGTGAGCCAAAAGCGGAGTCACAGAAGCCAAGAGGCAAGGTTAGTGCATTAGAGGCCCCTCCATTTCATCAGGTATGAATTTTATGACCCGAATGGCACTTTCACCATGTGCTAAAGTCTGGGGCTCTGTTATACTAAGACTGGAACCGGGTCCTCTGCAGGAGCAGCCAGTGCCCTTTCTCCAGCCCTTCAGTTAAAATTTTAAATTAGCATACAAAATGATAGAGTTAAAGGGATGAGTTCTGGAGATCAAGAGATGGCTCAACTGTTGAGACCACTGGTTGCTCCTGCAGAGGACCCGGGTTCGACTCCCAGACCCACAAGGTGGCTCACAATCAACAGCCTGTAACTCTCTGGTTCTAGGTGATCAACACTCTATGGCCTCCAAGGGCACCAGACACTCACACTCACATGGCACACAGACATCATGCAGGCAGAACACAGATTTACAGAAATTTTTGTTTTGTTCTTTTGTTGTTGTTGGTTTTGTTTTATTTTTTTTAACAAAGTCTCGCTCTGTAGACCAGGTTGGCCTAGAACTCACAGAGATCCACCTGCCTCTGCCTCCTGAGTGCAGGGATTAAAAGTACATGTCACCACTGCCCAGCATAACAAATAACTCATTTTTAGACATTTAAAGTAGAGGCCACCCTGCCTCCACTATGCTGAGGACATGTGTATTGAAGAGGTATAGAAGGCAGAAAAGCAGAGTGCAGTGTGGGGAAAGCTGGAGCTGAGCACACAAACTCAGTCTCTGAGCATGTGCGCAGCCTGGCTCTGGGTAGCAACAAAGGCCTGGATAAGGGAAGGTTCACTTACTGGCCTGGACCTCCTTGAAGGACCACTGTGGTCTGTGATACCACAGAAAGCTATGTTGGTGTCTGTGGTCCATGCTGCTGCCCTAGTCTGTGCTGCTTGCTGACTGATACCTTGGTGATGTACTTGGTCTTGGTAGCCTCATGGAGCCTTCTGTTTTTTGTTTGTTTGTTGTTGTTTTTTCTTTTGTTCTTTCAAGACAGGCTCTCACTGTGTAGCCCTGGCTGTCCTGGAACTAGCTCTTGTAGACCTGCCTGCCTCTGCATCCCGAGTGCTGGCATTAAAGGTGTGTCCCACCACTGCCGTGCTCAAGGGGACCTTCTGGCTATGAGTGACATGTGTAGCCACCCAAGGCCATGTTGAAGCAACAGTAGTCTGCGCAGCCACTAAGGGCCATGAGTGGATCCTGATACTGCCAGGGGCCATATTGCCTCCCCTCGATGGCACAGCATGGGCACAGGGAAGTGCTGTCCCTGTGTGGCTCTCCACAGTTGATGACTTCTAGCAAGGTAGGGGTGGGTGCAGGAGGAGAAAGATACACCTTTCTTTGGGGACTGGCCACTAAGAGTTTGACTATGCTCCAATGTGTATACAAAATGTTTTTTTCCCTATTTTTTCAGTTTTCTACTTTTTTTTTTTTTTTTTTTCCGAGACAGGGTTTCTCTCTGTAGCTTTGGAGCCTGTCCTGGCACTCGCTCTGGAGACCAGGCTGGCCTCGAACTCACAGAGATCCGCCTGCCTCTGCCTCCTGAGTGCTGGGATTAAAGGTGTGCGCCACCAACTCCCAGCTACTCTTTATTTTTCTAATAAGGGGAAAGGTTACAAGTGAAGGGTGAGGACTGGGGTGCATGATATGAAATTCTCAAGTAATCAAGAAAAAAGTAGACCCACTGAATATAAAAAACAAAACAAAACAAAACAAAAACTTAAGGTCCTCTGACACTGAGATGTGGAAGGACCCCCAGAACACAATGCTCATTGGCATGCTCCAGACACAGAAGGACACACAGCACAGGGTCCATTCCCAGAGGGAGGAAGTGGGACGGAGTGTGTATCAGAAGGTGCAGAGGATGCTAGAATCAACTGCATGCCCTCCATTTTAACCTAAGGGACCCATCTCATCAGCATCCCTTCAGAAGGGACAGGTAACATATTATGTTGGAAGGTGCCAATCTGTCTTATTAGAGGTCCCAGGGAATGTGGTCTTTGTCTTAATTGCTCTAGCAGGTGGCCATTGTGGCTTGTGTCTTGATGTCCCAAGGCAACAAGACAAACCAACATTCACTGACACCGTCCCAGCCTCCCTAGAGTACGGTACCTGGCTAATCTTGGACACACACAGTCCCAGCTTTCCCAGAGTACGGTACCTGGTTAACCTTGGACACAGGCTGTGTGGGGTTTGCATGGAGAGGGCATGAAGGTGAACGAGCCTGATTCTGTGTCCTCAGATAGGCAACTGGGTGCATGGAAGACTGGAAGTTGGTACTTCAATGGTCTTGCCTTCTCTGGAGACATGTTGGGGACAGTGTCCAAGTGAAGGTCCCAGGATGAATGGGGCAGTGGCCAAAGGAATATCTAGGAACATGGGCCATGTACCTTCTGTTGGCCATCGGGCCAACAGAAGGGCCACCTAAAACATTGGTCCAAGCAGGTCAGGTGTGCCCTGGCCACAGCTTGGGTATTGTTTAGAAAAGAAGTATGGAGGGACACTGAAAACATGGTGCTCAGTGACAGTTCAGACAGAAAAGGTCACACAGTGTAGGACGTCTTGACAGGAAATGCCTGGAGGAGGCAAATCCAGACTCAGGGTGCCATCCACTGGGGAGAACTGGGGAGGGGGGGGGCACGACTCTGTGGTGATCATGCCTCTTGTCCAGGGTAGGCCTGTGCTTTCTGGTATGGGCCCTGTAACCTCACTGGTTGAAAACAGGCCGACCCACATCGGCCCTGCAGCTCAAACGAAGATCTACAAAACCTGGGACCTCGGGAGAAGCAGTATGCTTTACCTTTGAAGCCTGAGAATGCTGAGAACATCCCAGCCACATCAGCCAGACCCAGTGGCCGCTCAGTGGCCGCTCTCCTGCCTTAGCCCGCAGCGCCCTCTATGGATGAGGAACGGCACTGCACCAAAGCCTAGGGGCTCCAGGGCAACCGCAGATGCCTTCAGAAGGGGCCTGTGCAAGCCTGTCACACCACCGCTCGGGAGGGAGGGCCGAAGCAGGAGGGTCGTTATGAATTGGAAATTAGGAATCTTGTTTCCGCCCACCCAGAGGGGCTACACAGGGAGACCTCTCTCCTCTTTTTTTTTTTTTTTTTGGTTTTCTGAGACAGGGTTTCTCTGTGTAGCTTTGGAGCCTATCCTGGCACTCGCTCTGGAGACCAGGCTGGCCTCGAACTCACAGAGATCTGCTTGCCTCTGCCTCCCCAGTGCTGGGATTAAAGGCATGTGCACCACCAACGCCCGGCTGGGAGACCTCTCTCGAGGAAACTGCTCTTATGTTGGCATCTACAACCACAGTCCATACACAGAAAAGGGCTCACATGGCTGTCAAAACTGCTTACTTCTCACAGAAAACAGAGGGGTGGGAGGCCAGGCTGTGGTGCTCTGGAGGCAGAGGCAGGGGGATCTGAGTTCAAGGCCAACCTGGTCTACAGCATGCATTCCAGGACAGCCAGGGCTACACAGAGAAACCCTGTCTTGAAAAACCACCCCCGCCACCATAAAAAACCCCAGAGGGATGGAGCACCTGCCTAGAAGCCCCAGTAAGGGGCTGGAAGTGTGGTCAGGGGTGGAGCCCCTACCTAGAATCCCCCATTGAGGGACTGGGGGTGTGTTGTAATCCTCCAGTGAGGAGGCAGGGTATGGTTCCCTGCCTAGAATACCCTAGTGAGGGGCTGGGGGCGTGGCCATGGGTGGACCCCCTCAGTGAGGGGCTGGGGTGTGATGGGTAGAAGAGAACAGACTCCACATATACAGTGGCACACAACATACATCATGCACATTCGTGCAACAATAGGAAAACCTCCATTTCAAAAGAAAAAAAACAAAATTGCAGCTACACATTGTGAATCTGCTCTTTGTGCAGCTTTGCGTTACTTGGGTTCCCTGGGCCCTTTAGATGGAACAGGCCCTTACCAAAGCTTGTCACCAGTCCCTCTTGCAGGGTGGGAGTGGACACAAATGACAACCAGCTGCCCAAAGTGTCAAGATGTCAACTTTATTCTTAGGCTTGTATTGAGGTGGGATGGATGAGGCAATGTGGACCCCTCCCCTGGGCTTCCGAGATTTGGCACAGTGGCTAAGTCTTGCAGGTGGAAGATACATTCAGTCAAGCCTTGAGGGCTGACCCCTGGGTCCTTCCAGGGCTGGAGCACCAGGTGTGGTGGCTTCTGGAAGGACCAGGGGAGTCCCTCAGGATTTGGGTTCAGGCATTGCTATCTCATTAATTGTACTCATTTAGTTCAGTGGTAGCCACCCACATTTGGAAAAATGGCCAAAATTCCCTAGGGTCTTCACAGTGCACAGGTCTCAAGGGAAGGGCTCAGAAGGTCAAGGACTGGAGCTGGGGACAGTCACATCCTGCTATGCCCTCCATGGCATGGTAGAGTGGTGTCCATGGGTGTTTGGTCCCGTGGCCCATAGGGCCTATTCACAAAGCTTTGTTACATAGTAGGTTGCCACCGAAGAAAGGAAGGTCCCTGTTGCCACTCTCTAGGGAACTGCAGATCCCAGCAGGTGTTGGAAACCATGTGAGAATTCATCCCTGGGTTCTGGGTTGAACCAGACACTGTGCCCCAAGAGGGCAGCCAATAGAAACTGGCTAAACTTTTTTCTCTAAAATTCCCAGATGGGCTGGGTGTGGTGGTGCATGTCTTGAATCCCAGCACTGGGGAGGCAGAGGAAAGTAGATCTATAGGAGTCTGAGGCCAGCCTGGTCTACATAATGAATCCCAGGTCAGCCAGGGACTCAAAAAGACAAAGCACATGGACTAGGCGTTGTGCCTAACATCTTTAATCTGAGCACTTGGGATGCAGAGGCAGGAGCTCTCTGTGTCTGAGTCTGGAGTGACAAGTGCCACCACACTTGGCTTTCCCCTGTGTGCTGGGGTCACACTTTTGTCCTCACACTCACGCAGCAAACTCTTTACCCACTGAGCCATCCCTTTATTTGTTTGATTGTTTTCTTTTTGTTTTTTGAGACAGGGTTTCCCTCTGTAGCCCTGGCTGTCCTGGAACTCACTCTGTAGACCAGACTGGCCTCGAACTCGCCAGAGCTCCATCTGCCTCGGCTACCTGTCTCTGCCTCACTCGTGCTGGGATTGAAGGTGTGCATCACCACTGCCCAACTGCCCTTTACAATCCTTTTCTTAAGACAATCTTGTTATGAGACCCTGGCTGGCCTGACTCTCAGGGTGGAGGCCAGAGTGGTCTTGAATTTGCAGCAATCCTCCTGCATCTGCCTCCCAAGAACTGGGATCACAAGCATGCAGCATCTGTACCCTTCTGATCCTGCAAAGACCTCAGAACACTCAGTACTAGGAGCCCTGCCCAGGGGGTGTTAGGGAGGCACATCACCCAGAAGTGCCAGGCAGAGGGAGTAGAAAGCTCTGGCAATGCCCAATGATCAGAAGTGTACCCTGAGGGCAGGGCAGGGCAGGGCAGGGCAGAGGAGGGTATGGCACACTAGGATATCTTTAGAATGGTCACCATACAGAGTATGGCTCTGAATGGAGGAAACCTGGTGCCACCTCGTTCCAGGCTGGAAAGAGGGGGGCAGAGCTGCGGCCACACATACAAAGGCCATGGCTGCAAAGCTGGACAGATATGGAGAAGGGACAATGAATGGCCCCAGGTCCCACCTCCCGCCAGAGGCGGTGGCACAAACACAGTGTGAGCCCGGTGACTAGGAGCACACAGGGTTTCAGAATTCAAGTTCAGACCCCTGGAGACAGGCAAGGGGATAGGTCAGAGTTGAAGGGCTCATAGTCACCAGGAGAGGAAGGAGCCAGAGTCCCTCTGCCCCTCTGATGGTGGCATTCAGGTGTGGTGCTGCTCCTGAGATGCAAGCTTGTACAAAGCTGACATGAACTTCTCAGCTGTCTCCCTGAGCTTGCGGCTGGGTCGGACCCTCAGTGACACATCCGTGAGGTCATCTCCTTCTGTAGAGACCAGGCAGGTGTCAAAGGACAGGCAGCACGTGGGACATACACTGGGGATAGGGGAGCAGAGAGGAAGCAAGGCCTCACACAACCCCAAACATGCAAGAGCTTGGACAGTGTGTGGGGGTGGGGCAGCTCCCTGTGGCAGACAGAGAGCTTGTGCCTCTGATTTGGGGCCATGTGGACATGTGCTGTGATTCAAGCCCACCTGATGCGTGGCAAGCGGGTCATGGACCAATAAATACAGCTTAATAGAAAGGTCGGCAGTGGGGGAGGGGGAGGACAAGACTCTATCTGCAAGCACCAGGAATGTCACTGCAGCCTCAAGAGGTGGAGGCAGGAGGATCGGGGTTCAGGGCCAGCCTAGGCTACATGAACAAACAACTACAAACTACAAAGCCAGACCTGACAACCTGGGGTCCAGCCCCAGGTCCCACATGGTGGAGGCACAGAATGGATGCTCGCACCTTGTCCTGGAACTTTCACATGCATGTCATGGCAGTAAATACATTAGCAAAGAGAAACAAAAACTGTAATACAAATTTTTTAAAAAGCATGAGACTAAAGAGATGGCTCAGCAGTTATGAGCACCGGCTGTTCTTCCAGAGAATCCAAGTTCAGTTCCCAGCAATAATGTGGTAGCTAACAACTGTAACTCCAAGATCTGACACCCTCACACAGACATACAGGAAGGCAAAACACCAATGCACATAAAATAAAAATAAATAAATCATAAAAAGATAAAATATCAGCTGGGCGTTGGTGGCGCATGCCTTTAATCCCAGCACTCGGGAGGCAGAGGCAGGTGGATCTCTGTGAGTTCGAGACCAGCCTGGTCTACAAGAGCTAGTACCAGGATAGCCTCCAAAGCCACAGAGAAACCCTGTCTCGAAAAACCAAAAAAAAAAAAAAAAAAAAAAAAAAAAGATAAATATCAAAAACAAAATTGCCAGGTAGTGGTGGCTCACACCTTTAATCTGAGCACTCCGGAGGCAGAGGCAGGTGGATCTCTGTGAGTTCCAGGCCAGCCTGGTCTACAGAGCAAGTTCCAGAACAGCCAGAACTATATAGAGAAAACCTGTCTGGAAAAATCAAAAACCAAACCAAACCAAAATTCATCAATCAATGAATAGCCAGCCCTTGGACTCTAGTAGGCAGGAGCGCAGGCCATCTGTCCTGGGGAGCTACAGGCAGGGGCCTCCCCACCATGGTCTGTTCTCCACCCCACTGTGAGCCACATGAGATGGGATGACCACGTGGCACCCTCCCTGGTGTGGTGAACTAGAAAATCTAGGGTCTTTGGCTCCGGGGAAGGCACCAAGAAGACCTCTGCTGTGGGCACCCACTATGGGGGAGCGGGGTCCTGTCAGTACTAGGCACTGTGGCCCTCTCCACATAGGTAGAGCCTTTAAGTGAGGCCATGACACTCTGTCTCCTTGCCTTGTGTGTGACCCCAACACTAATAACACCCTCTGGCTGGCATTCCATAACAAAGTGCAGCAGAGGCCAGGTGGTGGCCTAGATCCCACCCAGGCAGGAGACATGGGTGACATTCCCCACCCAGCACTCACCAGGGGCTCTAGCTCCTTGGGGTCAATGAGGCTGAACTCGGTGACAAAGTAGTAGAAGTGCTTGTAGCATGTATTCACATGAGCCTCAGAGCCCATCTGAGCAATGCGGTCGAAGTGGTGGATGTACACGTGCACGAATACTCGGAACAGCCGCGACAGGATCTTACGCACTGCCTGCAGAAAGTTCTTGGGGAATGGTGTCCCTGGAGGTAGACAGAGGGACCAGGAAGACCACTCAGGACCAGCTAGCCCAGGGCACCATTCTCCAACCTCAGTCCAGCCAGCCTAGCATGAGATGTGGTCTACCTTGAGCCACAGAGGTGAGAATGGGTAAGGCTCAGAGGTCACACAGCCAATGTCCCTATCCCAGGGATCAGTTTTTTGCCAAGTCAACTGTCAGCTTCCCTGGGGAATTGCTGGTCTATGCCTGGGGAGCCTTCTCTGTGATGGGGGCCCTGGTCCGTTCTGACCACCTTTCCAAAGCCCCAGGAATTCCCTCAGGCCTGGCAGCTGCTTGCCCTGCCACAGCCTTACTCCATGGGGCTCTATACCATCCTGAGGACACCAAACGTACAGCATGTGAGTGTGTGACTTTATGAGTGTCCCAGGACACAGGGTCAGCCAAGCCTGCCATGTCACCAAGTGTCCCCAGGGCCAGCGCTATAGAGCAGGTGGACAGGATAAGCTCTGACTGGTGAAACATGAGCAGTGGGGCAGTACTTAGACCTCCAGGTCTAGGGTCACTAAACAAGGCCCCACCGACAACTATGTCTTGGCTGCCAAAGTTTGGAGCAGATCTCCTGTAGTGGCAGAAGGGAGTCTATGGTGGGGCTTAATTTGAAAACCTTGGGTCTCAGTGTAACCATAGGGTCCTCAGAAGGAGGTGGGAGGGCTGAGAGAAGCTGCCAGCTCTGAGGAGGGAGGGAGAATGGAAGGCCTCTCCACACTGGTGGGGTGTGTGCTTCCTGTAGACAAGGGCGTAGTGTGGCCTTGCTACACTTGGACTATAGGTGACCCAAGGAGGCTGAGTTAGTAACATGTAGTGACATGGGCACTATTTTGTTTGTTTGTTTGGTTTTTCGAGACAGGGTTTCTCTGTGGCTTTGGAGGCTGTCTTAGAACTAGATCTTGTAGACCAGGCTGGCCTCAAACTCACAGAGATCCACTTGTTTCTGCTTCTAGAGTGCTGGGATTCAAGGTGTGCACCACCATACCTGGCTCTGTGGGGCATTCTACTGATTGGACCTTAACCTGAGTTACACTTTTGGGTAGCAGCCCACATACAAGGGCAGGGAAGGAAGAAGCGTTTGCTCTTTGCCTGCTTGCCCTCACTCTTGCTGGCAGGGGCATCTACCCTGCAGCTGAGACATTCCTTCACTGGTGTTAGAGCCCACTTCTTCAGGATCCCAGTGCAGACTGAAGACCAGCAGTTCCCCGGGAATCCTCCAGGACTCCAGCGCTGGATTGGGACTGAGACATCCGCTTCCTGGACTGAGCAACTACTGGATTCTTGGCTTTTCTATCAGAAGACAGCCATTGCTAGACCAGCCAGACCCAGCCTGTGAGCCGTCCTAACAAACTCCCCTTCTAAGTCGATGCAGATTCTCACTCTATCAGTTCTGTCCCCTGGAGAACCTGGTGAGTCACCAGCCCCGGGCCCAGTCTAAACTATACACTTTAAAGTGTGAATAAAAGCCAGACACTCTGGATGGAGGGAGGGGACAGGCTGATCTTTGGGAGTTTGAAGCCAGCCAGCACTACACAGTGAGACCACACCTATAAATAAATAAATAAACCCCAAAACAATTGATAAAACATGAATAAAAAGCCAGGTATGGCAGAGGCAGGCGGATCTCTGTGAGTTTGAGGCCAGCCTGGTCTACAGAGCAAGTTCCAGGACAGCCTCCAAAGCCACAGAGAAACCCTGTCTCGAAGAAAAAAAAAAAAAAAGCCAGTTATGGCACATTTCTGTCATCTCAGCACTTGGGAGTCTGAGACAGGAAGATCAGTAGTTCAAAGCCAGCCTTAGCTACATACTAAGTTCAAGGTCAACTTACGCTCCAGTTTTGTCTAAATAAATAGGGGGCTGGAGAGATGGCTCAGAGGTTAAGAGCACTGACTGCTCTTCCAGAGGTCCTGAGTTCAATTCCCAGGAACCACATGGTGGCTCACAACCATCTGTTATGAGATCTGGTGCCGTCTTCTGGCCTGCAGACATACAGGGAAGCAGGATGTTGTATTCATAATAAATAAAACTTAAAAAAATAATAAGCTGGGCATTGGTGGCCATGCCTTTAATCCCAGCACTTGGGAGGCAGAGGCAGGTGCCTAGAGAGACGCCTGCCCGGTTGGTAAAACACTGAGGTCTTAAGCATGAGGGCCTGAGTGGGGTCCCCCAAGGATGTGCATGACAATGTAGGGTGTGGTAACAGGAGCCTGCAGCCTTAGACTGGAAGTTGCCCTACAGCTGTCTCTTCCAGTTTAACTGGCAAATGTCAGGCCTGTGAGAGACCTGTTTCCAAGGAAGTAGATTGTTTCTCTGATGACACTGGAGGGTTCCTCCGGCTTCCAAAAGGACATGTACCCAAGCATCTACATGTACCTAGAAATGCATGAACATGCACACACACTCATGGGAAATCATCATGCAGTATAGTTGTTTTTTTTGTTTTGTTTTTTGTTTTTTTGTTTTTTCGAGACAGGGTTTCTCTGTGTAGCTTTGAAACCTATCCTGGCACTCGCTCTGGAGACCATGCTGGCCTCAAACTTGCCTGCCTCTTTCTCCTGAGTGCTGGGATTAAAGGTGTGTGCCACCAATGCCCGGCCTGCAGAATAGTTGTTGAGGTGCACGCCTTTAATCCCAGCACTCAGCAGGCAGAGACAGGCAGATCTCTGTGAGTCCAGTTCCAGGCAATCGAACACCTTTGCTAACCTCCACAGGCTCCTGTTCAGTGTGTGGCACACATACTCACACACACAAACCACGAAGCCAGCTGAGCCCATCGGGGCAGACACAGGGCCCTGGCTTGGCTGGGTCCTTCATGAGTGTGAGCAGACAGGGGTACAGCCCTGACTCACCAACATTGGTTGGGAAGATGTCCTCATTGTTGATCTGCATCTCAATCCAGTCCATGAGCAGGTCCATGTAGCGGGGCGCAGACACTGCGGTGGGCTTCCGGTAGCGCTGCTCATCCTGCCAGCGGTACTCATACTTGGGGCCCCCGGACATGACTGGGCACGACTTCTCGGTGCAGCCGTCACTGATGGTGCCATAGATGAGGTTGACTCGGTTGAAGAAGTCCACCACATGCACCGCCACCCAGTCGTTGAGGTCCTCACCTGGTGGCAGCTGCACAGCCAGCCGAAGGTCCAGCCCAGCGTTCAAAGACGCCTGTGCACGCTTGTGGAGCTCGAAGCGTTGCGTGCCAGGCTCAAACTTGCGCTTGGGTCGGAACGTTTTGTCCTTGTTGAACACTTGCTTCAGGAATGGGTTTGACATCTTGGTGGTACTTGTGTCTCAGGACGAGGAGCAGAGACTACGGTTGGAAGGTGTGGTCACCCAGAGGCCTGAAACAGGAGAGGATGGCATTAGGGCTGGGCACTCACACAGGCCTGCCAGTCCAGCACTCAGGAGGCCAGGCAGGGACATCCCAACTTTACAGCAGTCTGGGCCACACAGAATAACTGTTCTCAATAAATATAGCCAGGAGGCCAGGCGTAGCACACACTTATAATCCAAGTACCCAGGAGGCTGAGGCAGGAGGATTGCCCCAAGTTCCAGACCAGCCTGGTGTACAGGGTGAGGACTTAGGACCTGTGCAAGCAAAGAGACTTTTCTGAAATATCTACTTTAGAAACAAAGACTGGGCTGGGCTTGCAGAGTTCGGCAGGAAACAGCTTTACCAAAAGTGGCAGGTTCCTTGGGGACAAATGGTCACATGACACTAAATGATGACCTCAGAGGCACCTGTGCTCTCCCCTGATCCAGGCCACACACTGCTCTGACTTTCCTTCAGGAACTGTGAGAGAGTGCATGGAGGTGACAGAGACAGGTGGAGTGGCCTCTGTGTGGAGACATCAGGTCCCCAGGACCCTGGGATGTGACTTCTGAAGGTTCTGTATAGATGTGAGGAAATAACCCCAACATAAAGTCAACCATGATTAGCTGAGCAGTCAATAACCAAATCTTTTCTTCCATGTGTCGGGAGAGAACGTAGGACTTCACACAAGTCACGAGACCTTGTTCCCAGCCTGCTCCAGGGATGGCCCACTGGACCTTGCTGCCTGAGATTGGCCAGGCCATATGGGAGTGATAACATGAGTTGCACTTTGGGGTGTGGCCATGAAATGAAACAAGGGAGCTTGGGAACTAGAGAAACAGCTGCAGACAAAAGGGGAAGTTGTGGGCTTGGGGAGTGGCATGTGGTGTGGGCCAGCCCCACCCAGGACAGGCAGCCCCAGCTCACTCACAGTAAATAACTTGTGTGCTTATTTTGGAGATAGGGTCTCATGTAGCCCAGGCTGGCCTCCCACTCACTAAGTAGCAGAGTCTTCTGCCTCCACTTCCTGAGTGCTGGCGTGCCAGGCACCACGCCGTATAATTAAACACTCACAACATTCATCAATCTTCAGTACTTTTTCTTCTCTCTTATGTAGCTTGTAACCACCATGTTGGACCTGCAGCCCTTCCTCAAGCAGACTGCACAGAACTGAAGTCACACCCACACACAGAGCTATGACACCCACGGCTACATAGCACAACTGTCAAAAGCCCAAAGGGACAAACAGCCAGGGCCCACTCACTGGAGGATTACTGAGCCATGCACAGGAGGAGGGTTCTGACAGTTCCCTAAGTGTGGTGGCACTGGACAAAAAGGGACTCCATGACAGGAAATGTCCTCATTAGGCCAATTTAGAGACAGGAATGGACTGTGGGGGCTGGGAAAGGGACATCATAGTTCACAGGATGATAGAATGTTCTGGAATTAGAGGTGATGACTGTATAATTTAGCTTGTATTTAATCCTGCCTTCTATGTCATGGGGCACAGGGATTAGGATGTCGACAAAACTGTACCCAACCACTCAGAGTGCTCTGGACACTGGAAAGGAAGAAGTAAAGATTAGTTCCCTGGGGCTCATGCTGTGTCAACTCCACCATTCAGAATCTGACTTTATAGGCAATACGGCTATGGAAAAATCAAGAAAACAAAAGGATATAAACCAGAGTAGTGGTTCATGCCCATGATCCCAGCACATAGGAGGTGGAGGCAGGAGAATCAGGAATTCAAGGTCTCTTCAGCTACATACCTAGTTCCAGGCCAGCCTGAGCTACATGAGACTCTGAGACAAAAATAAAACAACGGCTTCCCATGGTGCATACACCTTAGACCTCAGCATTCTGGGACAGAGGCAGGTGGAGGTGGATCTCTGTGAGTTCAAAACCAGCCTGGTCTACATAATGAATTTTAGGCCAGCCAAGGCTACATAGAAAATTTGGGGCCAGCCTGGTCTATATAGACTACCTCAAAATAAAAACAAAGTAGAGGTTGACAATTTATCCAACAATGAGCCTATGTGAGCGTCATCAGAGTCACCAGTCAAGGCTGTGGTACCCTGGAGGCAGGAGTCTGTGGACACTAGATGGGCCCAAACTTCCCCATAGCATCTGTCTCCCATGTCCCCACCCCACCTTTGTGTCTGCACTTGCTGGTTCACACCTGACTAGGCAGCCTGTACCTCACAGTACTTCTGAGGAAATGCCACACACAGTTCACACAGTTCCCCTGAGGCTCTCCTCCATAGCGGCCACTGGGTCAGTACTTCTCTGTGGGGTATCATGGCATATGCAGGGTAGAGGAAGTATCCTTGGTACCTTACCCACTGCACACTGGGTGCGACCCAGCTTGGGACAGCCACTCATCTCCCCTCTCCCACCACGACCCAGGGGTTCCTGGAGGTTGTATGGCAGCAATCCCCTGCTCCATGGACCTTCCAGGTGGGAAGCTGGCTTGTTCAGCACCACATAGCCTATGGGAGGAGCTATGGTGGGACAGTGACAGTGGATTGTGTGGCTGAGGTGTCAGAGGTCTCAAGTGTGTACATACACAGGCCTCCTATGTCTTCCCAGCTCTGCCCCTCCTCACCTTAGACAGGTAGACCAGCCTGGGTCTCAGGGTGTGGTCTCAGAGTCACCAGTTCTTCAGCTTTGGAAAAGGGCCTTGTGTAACCCAGGTTGGCCTTGAGCTCCTGATCATTTTGCCTCTACCTTCCCAGGGAAGAGCCTCAGTGCCCCAGCCTCCCCACTGCAGCCAGGAAGACGGGCGTGCCCACATCCCTCCACCGCGCCTGTTATCTGCCCAGTACCTCCCATAGGCTGCCTGCCCACAATCATACAGTCTGACATCTAAATGCTAGCTAGACAAGCTCAGTTTACCAGAGCTGGTAGGTACAGTGGCTGCCGCTGGGACAGGGATGGTTCTCTTGAGCAGGTCCCCTAGGTCCTGCCTCACTCAGGTTGTGCTGAGGGGAGCTGGGCCAGTCACCTAATGGTGGCTATCTATCTGTCTGCTTCAGGGTTTTCCTGGGGACAATTCTGGGGCTTCCTTCTAATGCTGTCACCAAGCTGGGGCAAGCAGGAGCTGGGGCCACCATGGGGAGGCATGAAGGGTCCTCTTGGGCCTCCCCACTCTGTCTGCCTCTGTGTATAACACCAGCTCTGGGTTTGGCCTAAAGGGACTTTCAGAAGGTCTGTTTGCCTCAAAGGGGACAATCCCTCCAGAGGCCTAGAACAATAGGGTTCCAGAAGAGTCTCTCATTTGTCTGGTTCTTAGGTTTTATTCTGAAACATGATCATTAAGTTTCCTGGGCTGGCTCTGAACTCACGGAGTAGCTCAGGATGACCCTTAAGTCTCCATCCTGCTTCAGTCTCCCACTGCCTAGGGTGATGCCATCATGCTAGCCTGCTGTGGCTCTTTTTCTACAACATTTTCTGTGTGTCTATTGCACTCCCACAAGATTGTTCTAGAAACTGAAATGACAGAAGGCCTTGCCTAGTCCCCTGTAACATGTCTGTGTCCTCTTAAAAAGCAGGATTTTTTTTTTTTTTAAGGGTGAAGCAAATATTTTCTAGAGAATCTGGGGATCAATAGAGTGTCAAAATCAACTGCTTTCTATCAGAGACAAACTTTCTCCTGCACAGACCTAGGCTGGCCCCAGCCTATCACCCTCCTCCCCGCATGGCCCCAGTCACCGGCTAGTCACCTCCTCTCTGGTTCTGTTAGTGGACTTCCAACAGCTGTTCAGAACTGGATGCCAACACCTCTAGGACCTCTTCTCCAGGATGTCCCACTGATGAACAAGACATGACAGACACTCAGAACATTCTAGAAGGACACAAGGTAGATAAGGCTGCTCTCCTACCCCAGCACCCACAGGCTTCTCTTCCTCCCTTTCTGAAAGCAAGAAAACAGAGCACTACACAACACAGCTCTGACCCCTCCCAGGCCAGGGCACAGGGCTCAGGAGCCCAGGGTCACCCACTTCCTTCCGGAGGTTTCCACATCCTGCTACTGCCTTGGGGACAGGGCCTGAGCTGGTCCATGTGCTTGCTTAGTGTGCAGGGCTGGCCTCTGGCAGGGCAGGGTCCAGAAGCTGAGAACAAAGCAGTGTCTCAAGGTCACCTCCACACGGAAGGGGTCATTTTGGGGCTAGGCGTGCGGCTTGGTGGGCAGTGCCTGAGTCTTGGGGGTGGTGGCAAACACCCCAACAAAGACAAAGCAAAATGGAAGCGAGGTCTCTGCACATTCATAGCAAACACCCCAACAAAGACAAAGCAAAATGGAAGCGAGGTCTCTGCACAGTGCCTTGTGTTTTGATCCTGCCCACCGTGACACTATTTCCAAACCCTGTTGTGATGGGACCACACAGAGCCAGAGGGCTGACAGCAGAGCACAGGCCCTCATGACTGCCTGGACATCCCTCCAGTCCCCAAACAAGTTTTTCATTCTTTTTCTTCTCCCTTTTTTAAAATTCAAGGTTTCATGTAACCCAGGCTGAACTAGGCTCACTGTATAGCCAAAGGTGACCTGAAACTCCTGATGCTAGGAAATGGGGGAGCTGGGGATGGAGCCCATGAAGGGAGGCTGGTCCTCTCCACCAGGTCAGCCCATACTCCCTTCTTTCAGACAGTCTTGGTGTACAGCACAAGTTGCTTTAAAACTCCTGCCCAACATCCTGATTCAGAACTCTTCAATTTTAGTTTTTGGGTGCTGTACCTGACACATGCTGGGGCTCTAGGGGGAGACCTCTATCAAATGGCCATTTCCAGCAGGGCAGCAGGCACAGGCCTGTTTTACAACAGATGAGAAACTAGGGTCAACTCTCTTTATTTTATTATTATTATTATTATTGGTTTTTTTTTTTTTTTTTGAGACAGGGTTTCTCTGTGGCTTTGGAGGTTGTCCTGGAACTAGCTCTTGTAGTGCAGGCTGGTCTCGAACTCACAGAGATCCACCTGCCCCTGCCTCCTGAGTGCTGGGATTAAAGGCGTGGCCACCAATGCCTGGCTAACTCTCTTTATTTTTGAGATGACAACTCAAAGTGTAGCCCAGGCTAGACTAGAGCTTCTTATCTTCCACAATATTTATTTGGGATTGTTTATAATGGTGTACATTCTGGTTTTCTTATCTAAATACAGAAAGGAAAAAAGTATCTTCAAATAACCAAAAGGTAAAACCGGGCTGGGGACTCAGTTTAGGAGGTGAGCCCCACCCCCTAGAATCCTCCAGTGAGGGGCTGGGGGCGTGGTCAGGAGTAAGGGCTTAACTGGCAAGTATTCATGGGCTCCATAGCCCAGCCCCACTAAGTTTAAGAAGAGGGAAAGGAGGAGGAGTCAGCTGTACAATAACCCTCAGCAAAGGGAAGTGCATCCTCTGCAGGACTCCATTGCACAGGACCCTCCTGCATCAACAGGTTTTGCCCTTTCTGGTGAAGAGATTTGAAGATGGGCATTCTGGGAAAGCCAGATTTAGTCTCAACTGCTGGGGATTCCTGGGAACTTCTCTCAGTGAAAGGCCACTTTCCGAGTTGAGGGGATTTCCACAGCATGGGACACTGGCTGCAGAGATTACCCACAGGGACTTTTAGAGTATGGGGGTCATGTAGGACTTCTACATGTGAGCTGGGCCATCCCACCTGCTGAAAAATCAAAAGGTCACAAGTTGAGGATCTGACTTCGCACTCAGTCTCGTGTAGCCCAGGCTGAGGCTGATCTTCCAACCTTCATCTCTAGTGCTAGGCTGACAGGGTTGCCCCACCATGCCTGGCTTTTGAAGTGGCAATTTGCAAGCTTCCTGAGAGATGAATAACAGGGTGTCTTGGGTTTCAACATGGAACCAGGGAGAAAAAAGTAAAGCAGGGGCCAGTGAGCTGGCTCTGTGGGTGAAGGCACTTGCCTGACTGAGTTCCACAGGAAGCCACATAGTAGGAGAGGACAGACTCCCCCTCCTTCTATCCTCCTTCCACACAAAATAAATAAATAATTAGGTAAATAAATACAAAAGATCCCTCACCATTGCTGGACTGGAGTGAGGCATGATTAAACTGAGTGCCACAGACCCCAGCGCTGGGAGGTCCCAGACAGGGCTGACTGGGGACCAGGCTCCCCCAGGGAGGGGTCACAAAAGGCAGCCTCTGACACCCAGAATGATCCCCTAAGGACAGCTGCAGACCTGGTCATAAAGAGGTCACCTTGGAACTGAGCCCAAGTCACACTCTGTCAGCTGTGTCATGACCCTAAAACTCTGTTGCAAAGGCAACACTTGGGAAACTGAGGCAGGAGGATTGGGCCATAGAGTGAGTTCATGGCCAGTCACAGTAATTTAGGAAGAGGCTCTCCAATCACAGAGAACTTCATATGCAGCTTTTGTTCCAACTACTCAGGAGGTTGAGGCAGGATGATCCCTTGGGCTGAGAGCTCTGGGCCAAGTCAAACACAGCAAGATGCTGTCTCTTTTAAAATAATAATTACATGTGGGTGTTAGTGGCACACACTTTATTCCCAGCATTTGGCAGGCAGAGGCAGGCCCATCTCTGTGAGATCAAAGCCAACCTGGACTACCTATTGAGTTCCAGAACAGCCAGAGTTACACAAGGAAACCCTGTCTCAACCCACCTCCCAAATCAAATTTTCTGGTTGCCTCATAAAAGAGAGAAATAAAAGAGCAAAAGAGATGAAGTGAGCTGGGTGGGTGGTGCATACCTTTAATCCCAGCACTCGGGAGGCACAGGTAGGCGGATCTCTGTGAGTTTGAGGCCAGCCTGATCTACAGAGAAAGTTCCAAGACAGCCTCCAAAGTTACAGAGAAACCCTGTCTCAAAAAAAAAAAAAAAAAAAAAAAAAAAAAGGAAAGAGATGATGTGAACAATAACATTCAGATGTTCTGATTTACAATGGGATTCTGCTCCAACAAACCCGTTATATGTTGGACATATCCACGGTTGCCTTTCTTGGGAGATTAAGGCAGGAGAATTGTTGAGTCTGACACAGGCCTAGGCTACCGAGGGAATGACAAGCCATCTGAAGTGTGTACACAACAAGATTGTGTCTCAACACAAATAAAATTTAACGATTAAAAAAGCTCCATGCGCTTGCAGAGGGCCCCCAGCCCCTCACTGGGGAATTCTAGACAGGGCTCCACCCCGACCATGCCCCAATTTTTCAAGACAGGGTTTCTCTGTGTAGCCCTGGCTGTCCTGGAACTAACTCTGTAGACCAGACTGGCCTCCAACTTACCGATCTGCCTGCCTTGCCTCCTGAGTGCTGGGATTAAAGCGTGTACCCCCACCCTGGCTCCTTTTGCTCTTTTTGAAATGAGGTTTCACTAAATTGCCCAGGCTGTCCTTGAACTTAAATGGAATTGTTGTGGATCAAAGTGGAGAAAGGGCAGACATCAAGGAGCCCAGGGGTGGAACTCTCACACCTTGTCACCACTCTATAATCAGACTTGGTCAATGAGTTCTAATAAAGTGCCCAGGACAGGACAGGTCAGGTTAAAAACCTGGCTTCCAAAAGTTCCCAGAGCTGTGTCTCTAAGCTTTTCTGCTCCTGCCATTACCAATAGTTAAATCTGGCCAGGTGGAGGTGGCACACACCTTTAAACCCCAGCACTCGGAGGCAGAGGCAGGCAGATCTGAGTTCGGGGACAGCCTGGTCTACAGCGTGAGTTCTAGGACAGCCAGGGCTACACAAAGAAACCCTGTCTTGAAAAAACAAAAAGAGAGAGAAGGTTAAGTCTGTGGTCTCTTTTGCATCCTGCTGTCCCCAGTAATCATGTCTCTGAAGTTCCCTCACTTTCAAAACTATCCATGGGTTCCTCCATGTTGAAGGAAGCATGGACCTAAGTAAGAGGAGAGTCCTTACTGTCCCTGGGTTGCATCTGGGTCTCCAGCCTTCAGGGATGCCTAGGAACAGGGCTACTAGGAGCCTCTAAGAGTTTATGATCTCCTGGAAGGAGTCTGACTGAGTAGGGAAGGCACTGTCCCCCTTATCCTCTCTCTGTTCACCCTTGAGCCCCCCACTATGTATAATGGTAGCAAATCAGGTATCAAAAAATACAAGCATACAGGTGGGCTCTGAAACATGTAAAAAGGACCTATGTCACATCTCACACCAACCCTTTGCTTTGAATGTAGGTCTAGGGAAGGAGGACAGAAGAGAAAGGAAATGGTATTGGCGCACGTCTTTAATCCCAGTATTCAGGAGGCAGAGGCAGGCTTATATCTGTGAGTTAGTTCCAGGGTAGCATGGACTGAACAGTGAGACAATGTCTCAAGAAAAGGAGAGAGAGAGAGAAAAAAAGGGGAAACTGCCACCGAAGTTAACTTCCTGTGATCTGTTCTTGAATCTCCCTCGTCCACCCTTTTCAATGGCTTTTTTTTTTTTTTTTTTTTTTGGGGGGGGGTGGGGGGGGGGGGGGTGG